AGGATTAGAAATTTTTGTTACTAAATATTATGGATGTTTAGCTAGAATAGGCCATAAGGATTCAGTGTTAATGGAAGATTTTGGAAAAAGGAAATGAAATGCCAGTATGTGGTTATGTTTTAAATCTTGGTATATTTTATGATGGACGTTTAAACAATTATAGTCAAAGGAAAATGGAGGTATGATGATGGTAACACGTATAAATATCTGAGTTAGAATACTTGAGTTAATATGAATTATGTTTGTTGACTGTGGAAGAAATGCACGAAAGTCTTTTTGTAACCAACTCATACACTATCTACAGTATGTAAAGAAGTATGTGTTGTGTTTGTTTTGAAAAAAAATATTTTAAAAAATCACCTGTTCATTTCAATATCCCTGTGGTTACTTCTAATTAATTTTGGAGTGGCTTTTACTTATGAGCCTTCTGAGATTGGGACTCTCATTTCCTGAAGAGCTAGTTTTTTAAGATTTGCATTTGTATTCAAACATGGAAGCATTAATGTTTCCATTGAATTCCTTAGTTAAATGAGCTTATCCTATATTTCTCCTTTCTGCATAAACTACTGTAGAACAAACTCCTGAAAAAGTAGTAGATGTGGTGATAGTTGGAGAGAGTTCCATCTGTATGGAATTACTTTGGCAATCCTGAGCTATCTTTCAGTTTTCCAGGACAATAGCAGTTTTCAAGCCCTATTACATATCAAATGGGATATGCATGTTGTACACTAATACACATTTCTTTACTATACCAGAAGAAGAAGGAACTGATTGATTATAATAGCAATTGTAATATACTTGGTCATTTGAACATTTGTACTAAGTTCTCTTTATCTACTATTCCATTTATTTTAGTTGGGGAATGTTATTTTCATTTTCTTCTACTCAATTTAAATTGTTCATTGATACCTGGAGCTGATTCATTGGCCAGAGCTTCAGGAATTCCATAAATTGGGTAGATCCAACGGAGTCCTTTAAGTTCTTCATCCTTTATTATTACAGTTTGGCTGAGAAATATAAGCAAGTTAAATATTAATATTATCATTGTAAAAGAAAAACCTAGTACAATCATTACTTTGTGGCCTTATCTATTCATTTAAAACTTGTTTGAAATTTCTTGTATCAGTAATATATCTGATACAAAACCTAATTTAAAAATCTACTTCTTACAAAATTATACCATGTACTAGGACTGATCCCATTTCATAATATATGCCATCCACCAAGCAATTAAAGTTGGCTTTAGTACAAAAAATTGATGTAACATCAAAATAGAAAAGAAATAACAACATATGTGTTGATGACATACCTCATTATAGCCTCTTTTATAGCTAGTGATATTACATTATTTATAACAGAGATATTGACTCCCTCAATTAACCATTAGATTAGGCATGCTTTAATTTGCTTAAATCAGCAAAGATGGCAATTTAGCTCATCTTATATAACTATCATTCAATTGAGTATAGTAGTTGAAAACTATCCATACTCTCTTGGATAGCTGACAATGAGTTGTCTGATAATATAACCAAAGATGGCTTTGTCATACTTATACAGCCTAATAATTTTAGACAGTACAGAATTATCTGGAGTTTTTAAGTATGAAATTCTTAAGATGTCCTATATTTGTTTAAATTTAATAAGTGTGAAATATTCTATGTTAATTATTATGTAATTATATAAATTATTAAATTTATAAATAATGCTTTATGTTAACAAATTATGTTATTAAATTAATTCACATAATGATTTCAAATTTAAATCAACATTAGTTATGGATAACTAATGTTTAAGGTACTTACCTGTTGACTGCTTCCCTTAATTCAAATGTGTCATCATAAGTCCAGTTTTCTTCATGTACCTTCTTAACTTCAATAACAATAAAAGTTTCATAGAGTTTCATAGAAAGAGGAGCAAATAATATAGGAATATCAAGCTTGCTTTTTTGAGGTAAAATTATTCCTAAAAAGCAGAAAATTAAATAGTATAAATAATTACTTTGCTATTTACTCTTAATTATATATTTTTTTAAAATGCAGCATAAAAGGAAACACAATTGTTTATAAAGAACCTCTTTTCCACTAAAAAAAATCCACTATCATATATAAATAACTTTAAAACTGTTATTTCTCAGAAACAGATAACCAGCTTACCACAATGTTGAATGTTGAATGTTGATTTTATTTATATGCCGCCCTTTTCCCCCGAAGGGGACTCAGGGCGGCTCACAACTCAACCAGAAAATTAAAACGACACAAAAACAATACATAATTTAAAATACACAACAGTCATACCAATTCGAGATGGGGGCAATAGTTCT